CCCGGACCCCATAAATCAGAGAAAACTAGCTAAAACGGTCGTTCATATTGAGTTTGAGACGCATGAAACGGCAGCCTATGACTTTTACCCATATGACATGACACGCATACTGGAAGCAAATCTTTATTCAAATTGCTTGGCAAAGCAACATTACACAGCTTGCAAATTTGCAGTAAGATATTATAAGATGGATGACCTAAACGATCATGCTACAGTACATAGTTATTACTAGGGCTAGACACTATGTTTGCTTCAACAGCTCGACCTCGAGTGGACAACGTAGCACCGAACTCGTACAAGCCATCAACTTCTCTTCCTCGCAGCAACACAACACCAGTTCTCTCATCTTGAACCATACAGTAACCAGCATGAAACTCCAAGAATACTCCATTATCCCTAGCAAGCTTGGAAACCGACACCAACTTCTTAGTAATTGAAGGCACATGCAGTAAGTCACTTAATATTAAAGCACGCGATTCATTACAAATAGACGCTTGACCAATTTTAGTAATAGACAAACCACTACCGTTGCATACAGTCAGCTTACCAGCCCCTGTATAATCTGAGCCATCTACTAGTTCTGTGGCATCAGGCGTAATATGGTGTGTCGCCCCTGAATCAACAAACCACGAACCAGGGGTTGCACTTGTAGCAGCTACATTTGCACTAGGCTTGAACCGTTCTTGATCATTGAGCCCAGCAGCACCTCCATCCGGTCTACTTGCGCACGAGCACTTATTAGCATTGTAATGACAAATATTAGCTGTGGGTACTCGTTCTTTAAACGAGTTCCTTGAGTCAGAACTCCTTGGGTCAGATTCATCGACACCCGAGAACGACTTATCGAACCTGTACCAGCATCTATTCACAAGATGGCCATTCTTGCCACACAATTGGCACTGCATCTTGACACGCCCTCGACCACGACCGGCTTGAGCATTATAGGTAACCTGCCTTTCTGACGCAGCCTGATCTTGCCTAGCAAATCGAGCGGTTCTTTCATCCATGGACGTTTTTAGTTGAGCAACATTAGCTGCAGCTGTAATGTTGTCAAATCTACTAAAGTTCTTTTGCTGAGTCTCAGCATCAACAAGAACAGACACAACCCCTTCCAGAGTTAAGGCATCACGGCTGGCTGAAAGAACAGTAACCATTGGCCTGTATTCAACTGATAGTCCATTCAATATGGTTGCAATATGCTCCAGCTCCGGAACTGGACTTCCACACGATGTTAAGGCATCACATATCTCTTTAAATTGAGATATGTAGCCCCGCATTCCTAGTTCTCCTTGATGAACTGCTTTAAGCTGGTAATGCAGATTCATTACCGCCATCGCAGACTTACAGGCGAAGATTTTATTCACAATGTTCCAGACTTATGCAGCAGTTTCAACCCCCACTAAATGTGGCAACAAGGACGGGCTGATCGTAGACAGTAGCCACGAGGCCAAGGCACTGTCTTGGGCTACAAAGACCTCATGATATGTATTTTCAGCAACCGTGCCACCCTCCAGCACAACCGTCACAGGTGGCGAAACAGCCGTCCCAGAAAGTAGCTTCTCCAGCCGATGACTACTGATTGTTAGTAGAACATGTTGCTTCCAAAGCAAGAAATTCCGCTCATCGAGCACAACACTCAACCGTTTATTGGTAAATCTTTTGGAGGCAGTTATTGAATGCTCAGAACTGCTCACAACACCGCCGGAAAGAGGAGAGACCGGAAGCGCCATAAAGCCACCATGCACTTAGCAAGAACCTGACGCAGCTCTTCCTACACCACAAGATCACCAGCATCTGATACCATGTTGAAGTTTATGCATAGGTACTTGAAGATTATCAAGAAGATACAAGAGAGATATGTTATTAGCCAAGACTACTCAGTACATTTATACACAATTTCACAGCCTTAACAACCTCATAACTGCTTCTAACCACTCTAACTAATTAACCAACTGCACACTAATTACTTGTACACACACACCTCAAACCATACTGCACACACACACACGTACATAAGCATGTAATCATGCTCCAATAAACTTGGACGAGGATGATGTTCATAGGGCAGAAAAAACACCGATGGGAAGGGAGGAAATAAGAAAGGATATGAAGAAAGTAGAGGGAAAACCCAGGGGCATTGACGTACGCGGGTGCTGTCAAAGTAGTACTAAATATGAGTTTAAAAAATTGAATATTCAAAACAGAAAAAAACATTACGTGGGTCATCAAAAAATAATTTACCCTAGATTATATTGGATAACACTATTTTCTTCCGACGAGGATTGGTGGCCTATTAAACACCATCTAATAAATATCCTCCAGTTCAATTTAAACCGTTGATAATCTTCAATTTTTCTTTGCGGTTTCACTAAAAAGTATTTTCTTACGAGGATGGATGGGAAAGGCGTATAGAAAAAAAAGTATAGTGTTTGCTCAGAAAGGAGGAGGCCATCCAAACAGAACTGAGACAAAAAGCCAAATGAATTCCGCCGGCCTGGTCATTTCCAAGAACAAAACAGGTGCGGAGCTTATAAAATGGTCCTGAGTACTCTTCGGTTTCGCCAACGATAATTACCCTGTGGCCGTTTCTTCTTTTTTGCTTCTTTAGGTTTAACTATTTATTAGCTGTTGCTGATGGGTGAGGCAGTGTCGACGGCGAAACCTACGGGCCATCGGGATTGTAACCGTAGCCAACTGTTAAAATCGAAATCAACGGCTCTGATCTCTCCGATGCAAACCGGTGAAGCTGAAGAGCTTGAACGAATTGGCGTTGAAGGATTATCGGATTTCATCTCAGTTTTACCTGACGAGTGTTTGGCTTGCATTTTCCAGTCTCTTAATCCTGGTGACCGGAAACGATGCTCTCTTGTTTGCCGGCGGTGGTTGAGGATTGAAGGACAGTTGGTCACCGACTCTCCCTCAACGCTCAGTCAGATCTGCAACCTCTGATTCCTTTTATGTTCTCTCGCTTCGATGCTGTCACTAAACTGACCCTGAAATGTGACCGTAGATCTGTTAGCATCGGTGATGAAGCGCTTGTTCTAATTTCGGAGCGATGCCGGAATTTGACTCGCCTTAAGCTCCGAGCTTGCCGTGACTTGACCGATGCAGGGATGTCGGCGTTCGCTAAAAACTGCAGGGGCCTAAAGAAGCTCTCGTGTGGATCTTGCACTTTCGGAGCTAAAGGCATGAACGTCGTGCTCGACCACTGTCCAGCTCTCGAGGAACTCTCCGTGAAACGACTTCGTGGCATAATCGACGGAGTTGCAGCTGAGCCAATAGGACCAGGGTTGGCGGCGGCATCGTTGAAAACAATTTGCTTGAAAGAGCTTTATAATGGACAGTGCTTCGGTCCGCTCATTATTGGTGCTAAGAATTTGAAATCCTTGAAGCTTTTTAGATGCTCTGGTGATTGGGATAAGGTTTTCCCTCTTATGGTGGATCGGGTGACTGGTATCGTAGAGGTCCATATGGAACGGATTCAAATAAGCGATATTGGTCTGGAGGCCATATCCAACTGTTTAAACCTGGAAATTCTTCATCTCGTTAAGACTCCAGAGTGTACAAATGCCGGAGTTGGAGCTGTTGCTGGGAAATGTAAATTGTTAAGGAAGCTACACACCGACGGATGGAAGACCAATCGAATAGGTGACCAAGGATTAATTGCTGTTGCAAACTCATGCCTTAATTTACAAGAATTAGTTCTTATCGGTGTTAACCCGACGAACATATGTTTGGAAATGTTAGCTTCAAATTGCCAGAATTTGGAACGGTTAGCTTTATGCGGTAGTGATACAGTGGGTGATGCAGAGATTTCATGTATTGCCGCCAAATGTATTGCTTTGAAGAAGCTTTGTATTAAGAGTTGCCGTGTTTCAGACCACGGAATGGAAGCCCTTGCTAGTGGTTGCCCGAATTTGATTAAAGTGAAGTTGAAGAAATGCAGAGTGACACCGGAGGGGGTGGAATGGTTAAGAGCAAATAGAGGATCACTCGCAATTAACTTGGATACAGGGGAACAGTTAGATTTGAGTGGCGCACAACATAATGGAGTTGAATTTCCTCCAATTGTAGTCACTCAAATTGGTGCTTCTACTAATGCTTCAAGCAGCGCAGGTCGATCCAAGTTGTTAGGGCTTTTGGGTGGGCGGAGTATGGTGGCTTGCACTTTGAGAAGGTTTGCAAACAGTAATGGCGGCAGCTCCCAGAGTTGATGGGAAGAGGGGAAGGTGGGAGAAAAAGCATTTTGGTTCTTCAACTGCTTACTGTGTTATCTGGTTCAGTGTTGCGTGCCGTTGATTGTCTGTTGAGTTGAATCTTCATCTTCAAAACTGATGATCTCTCGTTTATTTTCCTATATATGGCAGCATCCTAATACGTTTAGCTAGCTTCCGATTCTTTCTTGATGCATATCGAGTATGATCATAATGATTCATATTCCAGTTATATATTGAAACTACTTGACTTCACATAATCATATGTTTGTGAAAGTTCCATCCTTTTTTTATTTTTTACAATTTCTGGTTTTGGGTGTGTATGATTGCATTGCAGTGATCTATCAACTAATGGTACACATGAACATCTGCAAAGTTTCTAACAAAAAAATGCTTTTAATAGCATAATGGCCCAGTTTTGCAAAAACTTATATAACCTTTTCATTTTGCAATGGGTATGATTAGTGATAATCATTCTGTGATATATATACAAGACTTATTGTGGCAGTCAACTTTGTTCGAAGTCCATAGACATTCCTAGCATTTCCCGAACCGCTATCTAACCGCAGATATTACGCGTCAAATATTTCGTCTCCACTCCATTTTGATCTATCCTATTACTTTACTATGAAATGCATTTATATATTTATGTCAGAGAGATACAAAGGATTAATATATTGTTTGCGAGAGAATAAAAAACAAAAATGTCAAATACTGGATATAAATGAAAATAACTGATAACCAGCACAGGAAAGCGGCATGATTCACATCCATTCATAAAGAAAAGCAGATGAAAGTTGAATAATCCATTTACCAAAAGTATCTAAACTGAATCATCCTCAAGAAGTTCAAATTCAGTGTATTGTCGACTATAAACTGACGGCTATTGAATGCTTGATGATACATCCAATGATCACACAATGGAGGGCTAATTAGCTCACCGATACACCAATCTAAACCTTCCACTGAATCATAGTCTACTTGGGACATGGTATCGATTTACTCTGCTTTCTTCTCCTTCTCGACTTGTGGTTTTAGATATATAAAAATTCGAGTCAGGATTGTGCCATTTGTCAAGATACCAAGAACCGAACCCGCAACAACTTCAAGGAAGTCAAGGACTTCAAATGGATAAACCAACAATGTACAAGCAGTTTTTTTCATAACAAGGCATGTGTAATGAGTTTCAATTGCCAAAAAAGATGAGTAAAATTGGAAGCTCCGTAATCTATCTTCTGGTATCCCAGAAAAAAGAGGAAGAAAATTTGCTTTAGACAAGCAGATTGCTCCGAAGGAGATCGTAGAACAGAAGAAACAAGGAGCTTTTGGAACTTTTTAAAACAAGTGTATAAAAATATTTAGAAGATGAAAGTTTAATAGAAAAAGGATACCACTTGGTGGTGCTTTTTCCTGGATGCTGGTAAATACTCTCACTGCAAGAGAAACAAATCAAATGAGTTTAGTTTCTGCCTCGGTACAGGAAAACACTACCTCTACGGCACTATCAACACGGAGACCCCAACTTAGTTTAACAAGAAGAAAAACATTGAAACTCTAACAGCTCTATAAACAATATGTACTTACCAAACGAGCCAGCAGTATTCACAAAGCATGTTAAGAAGCTGAGCTCTCCAGTAGGGATTTAACTAGCGTTTGCGGTCACGTGTTCGGTCGCGTAACGTTTATCACTATTGCGGACATAACAGATACCATCTCGATTACTGCAGGTGTCGCAATCGTGAATTTTTTTAAATTTTGCACAACTTATCTTAAAACATAATAAAAATAATTATAATTATAATTATAAGGAATCATTTTTAATGTTTTTTAAAATGTTTTTTAAGCGAAAATGACATAGATATAATATAGTTTAATGAAATAGAAGACTTTAAAAATCTGATGATAGGATAAAATAATTAATTAACTCTAAGAAATTAAAATGAATAAAAATAAATTTTGCTATAACTATAAGATAATAAATTCTTTACCATGTTGAATGAAATTTGAATACATTTAAAGAACACAAAATAACTAAATTAAATATAATTAAAATAAAAATGTAAAATTTAAATGTAAAAAAATTATTTTACTTAAATTATGACTAAATTAAACAGGTAGAGAATGCAGGACTTATTTAAAAAATAAAAATGTAAAATTTTAATGTAAGAAATTTATCAACAAGCTTGCTTTACTATTTTTTAGTAAAAGGACCAGAATATAATCTTCTACTTAGTACAGGACTTCTTTAGTAATTTTACCCGTTTTCATAACATAGTTGGGAAGAGAGAAATTGAAGGAAAAAATCCAAAAAAGAAAAGAATGCTCGACTTCAATTTTTATCTTCTACTCCAGTCTCTTCTCAAACTTCAAGCTCTTTCCAGCCTCTTCCCTCCCTCGGCAAACTCTCTCCGGTCTCTCAAGCCCCCCTCCCACGCAATGTTCTCTCCAGTCTCACGGTAAAACTCTCTCCAATCTCACGGTAAAACTCTCTCCAGTCTCTCAACTCCCCTCCCTGAAACCTTTCATCTTTTTAAACAAAAAAAAAACTTTTGATTCAATTTTTTTTCACATTAACGATAGATAACGGTAATAGTGTCCCGTTATCGGCGTTATCACCGTTACCCCTTAAATTACGGACGCGATCGACAGATTTTGGCGTGAATTTGCTGCCCACTGTTACTTTCTCGGATTTTGGTTTCAGACTGTGGCGCTACCACGAAATAGTAGAAGCTATTTTCATCCCGCTATTTTAAACCCTGCTCTCCAGTGCTTTTGTTCTTCTCAAAGAATAATTATTCAGTAATAACTATTAAAGAATTAGCTAAAAAGTTAGATTGTATAAAAATAGAAAGTCAGAGAAGATGGACATGCAACAAGAAAGTAAGCCGATGGAACAAAGGAGCTAATTAGCACTTAGTGGAAACTGACCTGGATTTAGTAATATCTAGTTAGACAAATAGCAGTTAACTAGATAGAATCCATTGAGTCATAAGTTCACCGAATTTACTAAGAAAGAAACCATTTATTTTAATAGTTATGATCATGAATAGGATGTGATGCAACTGAGCAACAAAAACCGAGTGCTGATGATTTCCCACTTTTCCAACATAGTACACACTATGTTTTCAAAATAGCAACAGTAGATCCCTCAGATACAATACTAACACCCCCACCCCACCCCAACCCCCCCCCAAAAAAAAAAAAAAAAAAAACAGGGCGGGCAGACAAACATTCAAATATTAATCCAGGAACAACAAGAATCAAAGCCTTATACAGATATGGATGGGTGTAAAATATATATCAGAGAAATGTTTACTTCCTTTTGATTAATAAGGAAATTTATGAAACTGGCAATTTCAAAAACCAAAATGTTTGTGAACAAATTTGTACATTTCAAGACAAGGACGAAAATTCAATATGGAAAATTCTTCCATATTTGTGGTACCCTGGCAATGAAAAATATTGCATGCTGGGATAGCTGTAGCAGAACATTTCCACATCAAAGCTCAATAATTGAAAAAATAAAGTTTTTATAAAGTATATATCAAAATGCAGATGTCTATTAATAATATTATACTCATAGCCATTAGTTGATGACAGAAACAAGGTAAAATAACAGAGAGGAATGCCACATACTATGTACAAAACAAAATTTTACAGATACAGATGCCACTTACATATAGCTTCAAATAGAACAAGATCAATTTGACAGCTAATATTGTTGGAGCTATAGCACAGAATCTGCAATACCATCGTGTTAAGGAAACTTATATATTTCCTGCAGATCATAGGTAAAAAAACGAAGCTCCAAACAATACAAAAGGAAAAGGAAAATATAACAGAGAAACAGTCAGGATACAGCAGTGCCCTGATCCAAATTGAGATGCCGAGGGGTTGCGAAAAGTAGTAAATTATCGCAACTAATATTATTGCTGTAAGAGAAAAAGTTCAGATCAAACATTTCAGGAGGCAATATTAATTTTTTCAAATATAGTAAGAAGATAAAAAGAAAAAAAAACAACTAAACCAACCACAAGATGAGCATGTTTGTTGCACTGTGAAGCTATGAAATTTGCTACCATATTTCAGAAGTAGATAGCTTAACGAATTCGGGAAATATACTGGTTGGTTTAAATAATCATGTATGCATATCATGGCATATTAATTTCACTTCTAGTTCTAATTTATCTACCAAAATGCGGCCACACACATGCAGACCATGCATGCACGTATGGTGCAACCGTGCAAGTAACATAAGATACAGCAGAGGAAATGGGAAAGGAGCAAGGCAACATGAGATTGGTTTGTGATTGCAAGATATTAATATGCATGTTACACAAAACAAATCAAATTTTCATTAGCATGCATCAATGGCACATGACATTCAAAGCAGACAGTCAATACGGTTCCAATTATCTTTTTAAAAGAGAGCACCATGATTTGAAAAGTTCTTCTACAACACAAGCAAAGTTCACAGTAACAATGACAGAAAGGAGAATTAAAATGAAGGCTAGATTTACCTTGGATAAAAAGAAATACCAACTCCCCATAATCTGAAAAGGGTAGTCCTGTATAAAGGCAATACGCCAAAGCAATGGTATAACCAACTACTTCAAGCTCAAAGGCAACAAGACTAAGCCCTCTAACACTTCTATGCTTCAAAATTTTCAGTATCTGCAACGGTTACGACAATAATAGCATTAGTCAAGCAACAAATTCATAAGAAAAAAAAGTAATCGATCTCAGTTCAGAAATCACATATAAGTTGATATCTTTTCTACATAAAAGATCACTGATTTATAAGAAAACTAATCGATTTCAATAAATTTGGCTAAAGAAAAATATGGGAAAAGAGATAATTGATCTCTGAGACCAGCGAGGAAAGATTAAGTTTAACTAAAGATTTTGTATTTACAAAGAAGATGAAAAACCCACACTGTTAATCACATTAAAAAGGGGGGAGGGGTAGCATTAATAGATCTCCCCTACCTTATGTTTAGTTCCGTCCTGTGCTGCGATCCATGGACCATGAGCAGGTCCTGTCGGGTTTTCCAAGCTGTTGTTCTCAAGGCAAAGAGCACCAGAGGATCTCAACTTTTCTATAAAAAAAAATGTGTCCATTTTTTTCTTTGTGCCCTCTAATTTTAAAAAAAAATTAATATAATTTTTTGACTAATGATTTTCGTCTATGACAGATGGATCCGTTAATTAATAATGACGTGTAACGTTAAGCTCTCTAACCCTTTTTTATTGATGATTAGACTCTGACTAGAATGAAATTACTAACTAAAAAAATAAAAAAAATTAATAACAAATAAATTAATTTGTACCTGGTAGGTGGAAAACCTTAATAAAAACCCAATATTCACTTTCCCAAACAAAAATCTCACGATGGTATCGTGTTTTTGAAGAACAAATTTTATTTTTTATTCAACGATTTTTTAAGACTAATCAAACTTTGGTCTCGCATCATCAGTGGACATCATAAGATTTGGATAAGTTTATTTGACAAATAACATTTCATTAGTTTTTGTGGGTCTTTTATCTCTTCAAAGATTTTTTTTTTCATAAATTTCTCAATAGTATGACAAATTCGACGAATTCCTCTACTGAAACCAATCTAAGCAATGTCCGTTCTTCATCTTCTTGGGAGTACGATGGTAATATTGTATATTGTAGATGTGGTTTCAAATACCCTATGTGGACAACTTGGAAAACAAAGAATACAGGAAAAATGTTCTTTAATTGTCCTAATTTTAAGAGTTCTGGTTGTAATTTTTTCAATTGGTATGATGAAGACATGTCCGAAAGAGAAAAATTCCTAATTTCGAGCTTCGAAAAGAAAATGAAGAGCTAAAAAATGAAATGATTATTTTCCAGTTGAAGAAATGAAGTTTGAGTTGAATTTGATACAGAAAGACTTAATTTCGGCTGTCGAACATGTTCATAAACTCAGAAAGATGGAAATTTTGTACCTTAGTGGGATGTTAATTTCTTAGATGATTTGTACAATACTCTTTTTGGTGTTTGTGGGTTAAGATTATAGGCATTTCCAGATTGAAGGACTTATGGTTTATTGTATTTATGGTAAGATTAGAATGTTTTGTTGTAAATGACTATGTTGAATTAATGGATATAGTTTATGTTTTTTTTTTTGTGAAAATGCGGCTTACTGTTTCTGTTTTGTTGTAAATGACTGTTGAATTGTGATATGATTTTGAAATGTCATGTTGAATTGTAATAATTTTAATATGTTCATTTGATACTGAAAAAAATGCAAAAATTATAACACTTTATAATTGCAAAATGTTACTTTCATTAGATAAATCTGTTGCATAATGCCTTCATAATAGTTCACATATACTTGTTTGAAGGACTTCAAAGGACTAACAAAAGTTTTATACAACACAAAATAGCATGTCAACTGAATATGAATGGATCTTTGAGAACAAAAACCAAAGTCAGATCCACGAAGCAATAGAAGACTCAAAATGTTGTAACCGGAGATTGCATTCATTGTGTCCTTCGAATCTCAGGATACTTTTGACAGGCTTCTTATTGTTCTTTTTGAAGTTGCATAGTATTCACAACCTTTTTTCCTTTCCACTTGAATCCAGGATCTTTACATGTATGTTG